TAAATTCTAGAATTTATCGTAGGCGGTTGAACGGCTCCCCGACCGGAGTCAACAAAAATATAGAACATGTCCGGACTGGTTAAAAATGGCTCGCACGACAGCAAATAAAAAATAAATGATTCTTGTTGGTAATGATTTTAATTAATAATTGAATCAATTACACAATAAATAAAACTCTAAATCTATACCACATAAATATATATAAATTTGAGTTTTATTTGTCTCATAGAAAATGGCCACATTTGAGAGGTTGATTCCCTTCTTCGTTAAATTATTTAATAATTAAAATAAACGACAAATTAAAAAATATGGCAACCCTTACTGTTTAACGAAAAATAAGCTCATTTCCTACGAGTATGATATTTGCATCATGAGCACGTTATACAAAGTACCTCATTTTTTACTCAAAAAGTGTTAAGAAACACGAAAAAGAGGAAAGCCTATTTAAATGCGTACATCTACATTCATTGGTCGCAGAAAAAACAACGGGATGAAAGAAGGCAATGTGTTGTGGAAGAAAGAAATTAAAAATAGAGTTGAGTAAAACACCTCATTTGTTGGCTACGTGTGTTCAAAATAATGTGGGATTAGGATATATTAAATGAAAACATAATCAAACGTGTACCTCTTCTGCAATTTAAATCAATATACATGTTCTATTGGTTAAAAAAAATAAAACAATTTTTAAACTCAAAAATTTATAGCAGCTATACTACCAAATGTTTTTACTTTGTCTAATTATACAATTCACCTTTTTGAATGTGAATTAATTTTTCTAATTATGTACGCTATTGAACTATAAATATACCTAATCTAATAATATATAGGGCGTAACAAAAATATGTACAGTAAATTTAACCAGTGTCTGGGGTAAAAAATACGTCGATTTAAGTTAACTTGTTTATAGGTATAAAATATGGATAGTAAAAAATTAAAAATTTTAGAAATAATTTTGTATTCTTACTCTAAAACGGCTTTACATACTTTTATGAAATTGTACATGGGATGTTAGTATACAGTGACCAATAAAATGTTATTAGTAGCGTTTAAAATAAATTGTATTCATTGTATAGGGGTTTAGAAGGGTTCCGCACCCCATTGACCCCCTTCTTTTTTATACAATGAAATTCAATTAAAAGCCACTGAAATCCTACATCTGTTTAAAAACAAATTGTATGTTATTATTTGTTTGTGAAAGCCTTAATTACTAAATTATATGCCCCATAAGGAAGGTCATAGTGAAAAAGTTTTACAATTAAATTTTTCTCAATTGATTTTAAACCACTGAATATTTGTTGACGATTTTTTAAGCTATTGCATAGCTTTTATCGCGGGGCTTTGAGCGCGGCGATCGAATCAACAAATTCCGCGAAAATAAACCATTGTCTGCATTGTCTAACGTCGTTTCAGTTCGGCAGACTTCGGCACGGTGTTTGTGTGCGTGTGACTAGACGTATGCGTGTAGACTAACTGCTAACTGCTCATAACTGATTCTATCTCTTTTAGACCCAATGTTAGGTGAGACAGCGTGCATTTGGGCGCGTCCACGAGTGAGTTCGAGCCCACTGGAGTTGTACAGTATATTTCTACGACTCACTAACAAAAATCGAAAAATCGAAAAATTGAAAAAGAAATTCCGTAACGAAAATAAACCTAACACCCCCCACTCCGACCGGTGCGGCGTTGAAAGCCGTGCATCGTCTAACGTCGTTTCAGTTCGGCAGATTTCGGCACGGTGTTTGTGTGCGTGCGATTAGACGTATGCGTGTAGACTAGCTGCTAACTGCTCATAACTGATTCTATCTCTATTAGACACGATTTCTGAAAAATTGAATTTGAAAATGAATAATGATCCACAAGAATCCACAACAAAATATGGGACCACCGTTGACGCGGTATTTTCCAGATATTTATAATAATAATAATAATAATAATAATAAATGGCCTTTATTTGTACATACCAAAAATACAAAAAATATGTAGAAATGTACATTTGCCTGGGCGAGATTTAGCCAAAGGCTATTCTTACATCTAACCCTATAAATTCTATACATAGTTTAAATAATAAATACATTTTTTACAATAAGCAAATTCTAGTAAAACATTGAAAAGAAAAACAATTACCTAAGTGTGTTTATTCAAAAAGAACAAACGAGATAAAAAAAAAATTAAACAATTGCACTTAAACACTTTGGGAGACCAAGAGCTGTCGTTTTAATGTATTTTTAAAAACATTTAGAGATTTTGAATTTTTTAAAGATGTGTTCAGATTGTTGTACAGAACAACGGCATTGTATGAAAAGCTGCGATTAAAAATTGCCGTAGAATGACGAGGCATGGTTAAAGTTAAATTATTTCTAATATTAACGTTGTGCATCAATGTTCTGAATATTAGTTTGTCTTTTAAATATGGTGGTATTGAAGTATTAATTATATTATATATTAGCGATAGGAACAGATATTTGAATAGGTTGTTAACATTTAACCATCCAGTTTGTGAAAAAGCCAATGAAATATGGTCGAACTTGCGAAGGCCATTGACGAACCTACAACACGTATTCTGCATTATTTGCAGTCGATTACGATTGACTGCTGTTAGACAAGGGTAATATATAATAATTCCGTAAAGAATTTTTGAAATTACTAAACTTTGACATAAGTTAGCTTTTATTGATTTATCTCTAAGAATGTATTTATTTGAGTAAAGTAATCGAAGTGCGCCGTAGCACTGTTGAAGAACATAGTTCAAATGTTTATCAAATCTCATAAATTCATCGAAATACAGCCCCAAATTTTTTGCAAAACATTCGATAGGAATCCTCTCCCCAGAAATACATAGGTTAACATTAGATTTTAAAATATCTTTGAATTTATTATTACAAAAAACTATGAGTTTAGATTTAGAGGCATTTATGTGCAAATTATGGTTTGTGGAGTATACAGTTATGTCATTAAGGTCTTGATTTATTAAGTTCACGGCATTGACGTAATCATTTGCGTTAAAATCACAGAATAATTGCGTGTCGTCAGCAAAGAATTGGACTGAACAGTTTTTGATGCATGTATATAGATCCGAGGTGTAAAGTAGAAATAACAGAGGACCCAACACCGAACCTTGGGGTACGCCGGACTTTATTGGAGTTGAGTTAGACTTCTGATCGTCAACAATAACCTTTTGAGAGCGATTGTGCAGGTATGTTTTTATGAATCCTAAAGATTTATCATCAAATCCGTAATATGAGCACTTGGCAGAAAGCAGTTTGTGATTTATAGTGTCGAATGCTTTACTAAAGTCTAAAAGAATTACTGCACTCGATTTTTTCTTGTCCATGCTGTTTAGAATATTATCTGATAGATATGCCAGAGAAGTTGTGGTACTGAGACCCTTCTGAAATCCTGACTGATGTAATGGAATTATATGATTTTGGGATAAAAATTCATAAATTTGCGAGTAAGCAGCACGTTCTAAAATTTTGGAAATTAAAGGAAGTAAACTAATGGGCCGTAGTTCATTGTATGACATTGGGTTGGATTTTTTAGGCAGTGGAATTACTATTGACTGTCTCCAAGAACGTGGAAAATAACCTTGTTCCAAACATAAATTAATTATATGTAGCAGGTACACATCGATAACATTTAAGCACAATTTTAACATATGCATGCTAATGCCGTCATTTCCTCCTGCGTTTGACTTAATACTTTGAACAATATTGTATAGTGTTGCGATAGTTATAGTTTTAAAACAAAAACTGATATCTTTATTATGTCTATTATTTCTATAAAAGCAAATTGAATTAAAACATTTATAGTCACTGTCCTGAAAGACTGATGAGAAAAAAGAATTAATTTCAAATGGGTTAGATAAGCCAGGAGAAATGTGTGTTGTTTTGGTTGACTGTATTTTCATTTCTTTAAGAGCTTTATAAAATTTAGATTTAGAAGACTGTTTATTTAGATATTCTAAATACGCAGCTTTTTCACGCCTTAATGAAGCTAATGCAAAATTTCTGAGTCTTTTATAATTATTCCAATTTTCAGAGTTTTTATGTAGTTTATACCTCGTTAGAGCTTTATCACGTTCTCTGAATATTAATCGAATAGTTGGAGTTAACCAGGGTGATTTGGGTTTGCTTATTCTTGCTGTTCTGAGAGGGCAATGACTATTAAACAATGTAATTAATGCATCCGTTAGATAATTGACTTTGCTATCAATATCTTGAAAATATAATATATTAACCCAAGGAATACTGTGTAGATCTTGTGAGAAGGATAGAAGGTCAAAGTTGTTGTAGTCTCTATAAGTTTTGAATTTTTGCTTCTGTGAATTGTAATTAATATTTAAATGGCAATATACCGCTCGATGATTTGTGAAGTGATCTGCATTTATTGTGCCATGGTTAGTACATATATTTGGTGTATTTAAAAAAATTGGGTCAATTAGCGTTTCTGAATGGTCTGTAATATGTGTAGGCTCGTCAATGACCTGGACAAGTCCAAAAGCATCCATACATTGACTTAAAGGATTGTTAATATTGAATAAATTCACATTTACATCACCTAAGATTAAAATATTATCATAACTAGTAACAATTGTTGGCAATAAGTTGTCTAAATGTTGAATAGCATCTTTTAAATTTTTATCCGGTGGTCTGTACATAGTACCAACACAAAAAGAAATATTGTCTAGTTTAAAAGTGATCCAAAGGTGCTCTAAACAAGAAGTATAAAAACAGTCATCAAAAATTACAATCTTACTTTGGAAGCAAGTCCTAATAAATATACCCACCCCTCCGCCATGACGATTCCTGTCCTTTCGAAAGAATGAAAACCCAGGAATGTTGACATCAGAGTCAGGTATATCATCAGAAAGCCATGTTTCAGTTACAGCTAGTATGTCAAAATCCTGATCTTTAATAACAACTATCAAGTCAGCGATACTAGTTAAAATTGAACGCTTGTTAACTTGTCCGATTTTCAAATTATTAAATTGCAATTTCTTTTTAACCATAGTTGATTTTTGATTGAAGGTGCTGAATATAATTTTTATAAACGAGGCATGCTTTGTCATTGGCGGAGTGGTTGGTATCAAATTTCGTTCTAAATTTGTTATTGTTACTGGTGCAATTTATGCATTTTCTATGAGTAGAGTTACATTGCTTGGAATCATGGTCATTTGAACACATTATGCATTTAACAGTTGATGTGCATGTTTTTTCAGTATGACCGAAAGAGTGACATTTTTTACATTTTATGATTCTAAGGTGATCGTTAACAAAGCATTTTTTCCACCCTACATATAAAAACCCTTTAGCTATAATACATTTGCGTAAATTTGGTGTTGTTTCAAAAATTATATTGGATTTGTTATTAAAATTTAAAACTGCTACAATTTTCATTTCATTGAGGCTAAAATTATCAATTAGATCATTTAATGTAAAGATTTCGTTCAAAAGATCATCATTAGGTTGTTTGTCATTTAGATTTACATCTTTTAGTATAAGACGTGGATTAAATTTATTTATCTGTTCCACACTGTATTTCGAACCTAAAGCATTATTAACACAAGATTTTAAATTTTTTAAGGAATCATCATTTTCGCAATTCACTATTATTCCACCTCTAACTTTTTTAATACTGTCGATACGGATATTTTTGTCACCAGGATGAATATGCTTCTGAATGTCCTTTAAAACATCATCATTGTTAATTGAGGATCCTTGGGATTTTATCACTAAACCGGGTTTATTTGTTGATGTATTTTTAAGTGCACTACTATAGGATGCTAGTTGGTTTTGACTATTAGAAGAAATATTTGTACTCACTCCAGATCCAGAATTATTAGAATTAATTATCATACCCAGTTTTTCTTTTAAGAGCTCATTGCTGCATTTTAACTCGCTGTTTAGGGAGCTTAATAAACTATTTTCACGTTTCAGAGATTCGTATTCAGTTTTTTCGGGTACAACGCCTACCAGTTTTTGCGGCAAAAGAACTTTGCAATCATCGCAGAACCAAAAAACGCTATCACTTCTGTTGATAAATTTTAAACAATCATCTTTTACACGTACACAGTGTGAATGAAAATACTTTTTACAACTAAAACACTGTATTTTACTAGTTTTCACAACAAAATTGTCGGAGCAACGGTCACATATGACCACGTCGCCCGCCATGATAACTGATGATATTTAGAGGATATCAACTCTCAAACTTATGTTTCTTATTTCAGTTACCATAAACCTATAGGTTCAATGATAAAAATTCCTGAATAACCTACATGTATTGTAAGATAATAATAGTATATTATTAAACGAGCAATTTATGGTAGCCATTATTCACGCAAGTTACCCGAGTGAATAATGGCCATACATTGCGAGTCTAATACTATACTTTGTCCACGACCATTAATGGTTTCTTTATTAAATAAAAGTTAAGTGTAGAATAAAAAGTTTTTATTAAATATAGGTATCTAACTGTTGTTTTTTCAACTTTTCAATTTTCAGATTTTCGAATTTCTGATTTTTCGATTTTTTGATTTTTCGACTTTTCAATTTTCCGATTTACCAATTTTTCGAATTTCTGATTTTTCGATCTAGAAAATATCGTTATGAAAAGTATCGCCCATCTTCAGTTATCTACCGGAAATTGCCAGAATTACAAAAGCGTGAATTATCATAATTCACTCTAGTGCTATATGGGTACCATTTATGCTTTTAGTTAGGAGGTAGAATATTGATTTATTATTAAGTGGTCATGGACAAAAATATTTTAAACAATATTAACTTCTCACTTATTCAATAAAAGAAAAAAATTGTTTTCTTATCGGTCACCATGCTCAAAAAGTGTAACTTGAATTAATATCAAAGAAAAAACTTGAATTAATATCAAAGAAAAAAATACTGCATAAATAAAATAAATAATTATAATTGCATAAGTTGATAAAAATGCTATGCAATAGCTTTACCGCGGCAGTCCCCGAGTGCCCCACGTATTTTTTACTATTTTACAACTTGATTTACAATTATTCCCTTGTATTATCGAACATCCTTGAAGTTGTAAAATATTAAATATAAGTCATATATTTGGAAACACAATATGTTTCAGCTGGTTGAAAAATTTGAATAAATTAGCTAGTAATAACTAAAATGTGTCACTTCTTTTTACACAAAATACCTGATACAACACTCTTATGTGTCCAACACATGACTTCCCTGTCTAGTTATTACGGGCTTTTTCTGGTTTTTGTATAAATAACCTATTGTATTATCCTTGGAAATGTTTAGAGGATGAATTAAACACATACATTTCCCACACACATTTTACTCAGAACTTTTTTTATATTCATTGCCATATTGCCAATCAAAATACTGAAAAATAAAAAATTTACACTTTTCCACAAATTTTTCCATATCGGTCCATTTTAGAGGAATCACGTATTAAACGAAAACTATAGAGACATATATATTGCAAATAACTTTTATTTGAAGAATTTTCTTCTCCAACCGTAATAACAGGGATATTCCTTAATGTAAAAATACGACACCCTATATAAAGTACCCCCCAGATTCTTCAACAATGCCCAAAATCAGCTCACCGTAGGATGGATTGAAGCTTAAGTTTGAAATTTTGCGTTTTTCTTTTAATCCGTTTTTGAATTATCTTCAAAATTCGAAATTGCACATTTCTTCAAACATTTCGAATACGGTCCATTTTGGAAATAATATATGGGACAAGAATAAAATAGAATGAGATCACAAGCAACTTTTATTTTTTACAATTTTCTAAAAATTTGAATTTTAAACTTTTTTGCCAAATTTCTCGAATACGGACTATTTTAGGAAAATTATATATAGGGCAAAAATTATAGAGAATAATATCACAAGCAACTTTTACTTAAATAATTTTCTTCTACAAGCGTAAATAATAGATATATTTAATAAAGTACCCATCCAGATGTTCCGACTATGCCCAAAATATAATAAACTCACGACAAGATGTATTAAAGCTTAATTATAAAATTTGGTGTTTTTCTTTTTATCCGTTCATGAGTTATCGAGTATACAGACATACATACATCATCGCCAAAAAAGTCAAAACGGAGATTCTGGTGACCCCAAAACGTAAAAATCCGTCGAAAACTGGAGGTCGATAAAATTATGATTTCTATACTTTCCTTATCTGTATACAGACAGGAAAGTAAAATGGGAATTCCGTGAATGTGTCGCAGATATTCAATTTTTTTTTCCTAATTAACTTCCCGAGCTCAAAAGGTAGTTTTCGAAATGAACGTTACGGAAATATTCTTCCGTCGGAAAAATCGAACGTGTGCGGGGAATAAACTACTTTAGTGCTTTCTGTGCGTTATATTTTTCCGATTTGGAAATCGAATTCGAAAAATGAATACCGAAAGTTTGCGGCCAGCCTTAGAAGTACTACTTAGTTACCTTTCATAAAATTTTCGGTTTCTACACCACTGTATCAGGTCATCACGAATTAGAACAAACATGCATCGGTTAAACTTTCTATTTCTGTTGCAGCCATTGTTTTGGTTTTTTTCACCTTTAACTTTTAGTTATCATTTTATATTAGTACGCATCTTGCACTTTTACCTCAAAAAAACATGTTGATAGATCTAATAGGTCCTTGAGTATACAGGTAATTATAACTCATTGAAACATCAAAGTGTCTATTGAGGAAGGAGGAAGTGGACGTGCGGTTTTTATATTACGTAAATTTGAATTAAATTATAAAAAGTTATCGCTTTTGAATTTTTAAAACTGAAAGTTGTGGTCAACATGAATTATTATTATTCTCCCCTTTTTAAATACGCTTGTTATTGTTTTATTTCGAGTAAAAACAGCTATTCAATACACTGATACGTTTTAAAATAAATGTAATTAGAATAAGTAGTAAAAACAATGATGGAATAATAAAATTCGTCAAGGGAGAGTTGGATTGGTGCACCGAGGGTTCCTTTACGATCAACAACAAGCTAGTTATGCAGATAGGCACAAGCCACTAGACACATTATTATTTCTGAATGATGTAACAGCTTCTTTTTTAATCAGTGACTGTTTGTTATTTGCAGACGACCCTTAAGTTTTTTAACTCGGGCTGGTGACAATTGAGCTTTACAATTGGGTCTTAATTGCTACTCTAAATGGTGCAAACTAAAACATTTGTAAATGTTAATAAATCTACAAATGTACTACAATTCACTTCACAAAATCTCCCAACCCTATTTAGAACTCTTACAAGGTCGTTAATGTGACACTAAAAAAATTCCTCCTCAGTAAACGATCTCGACTTAAGTTTATCCCGAGGAGTAAACCGCTGGTGCACTATGGTGTACAAGCAATTTGTACTAGGTGTACTATTTTAATATACTTTTAATTTACTCGTGTACTATTTATCTACAATTTGTGTACTATTTATGTACTATTTGGGGGAAAATGTGTACTGAGATACACAATTTTTTTAGAGACTACCACTCGATTTATCCTTTAACCTGCATATCGACTTTATTGGTTGGTTGTGTAAGACTTTTAGAATGCTTGATTGTATTAGGCATAATATACATCACACTAGGCTATTACATCCCTATGCAACTGTTTGATGAGAAGCATTCTGGGTAAAGTAAATGCACGTCATAAACTCATGAAAGTAGACGTTGCCAGGTTGCTACAGGCTTCAAAGTTCTCAAGAAACATTTTATAAAAAAACTAATGTTTAATTTGAACTCATCTTTTGACATTTTAAATAATTAATTCATTAAACCTATATATACAATTTTAGAAGCTTTTCGAAGTAGTTTTTCCAATATCAATAAATAGAATACAACAAGTAAAGCTTTATTCAGAATCAGAATTACTAACGCTATCATCATTAAACTCAATAATTACAGGTAAAATATCCTCCCGTTCAAATATATAACTTCACAATTCCAACATTTCAGTATGATACAATTATACCAGATTTGGGGGGTTACAGTCTGTAGTGTTTCCCTCCACATACTTAAGGTAGTTCACTCATAAAACGGCCTTTCCTAAGAATTCAATAAAATTGAAATATGAGGTTAATGAAAGTGTCTTTTACGTACCTAAAAAAAAAAAATAAAAATTTTTGACCGTCTGTAAAACGAGATATTAACAATCAAAATGTGCATAATTAACACTCTTGAAGCCCTGTCATGTACACAATCATTGCGTTTATTTCAAGATATCTCGAAAACGGTTCTTACCATATTTTTTAAAACCTAATGTAATGTAAATCAAGAAGTTATAAAATTTTCTAAAAAAACGCTGAATTTTTTTACCGTTTTGATAAAGAAATATAGATTTTTAAAATAAAAATGTTCCTAAAGCACTCGACGCATAGTGGCGTATTGTGATTACAACTTGGCAACGTTATAATCGATACACTCAACGCCCGCTAATTCAAATGTCTGTTAGATCAGTGCTTCCCAACCTTTTTATTGCCGTGGACAGGTCAAGTTTATCACTTTATCGAGGCCTTCTGGGAAGGGACGTTGTTTATACTTTAGGTTGATAAATATGCAAAAGATGAATATAATTTTATTTAAACATGCCTTCAAAATAAAATACAGTTACACAAAAAAAATGAATATAAAGTAATTTAAAATTTTTACTTACTAGTTTGAGTAAGTCATAAAAAAATACAAATAAAAGTAATGATTTTCTGTAGTATTGATGATGGCTCAACTTTCATTTAGCCGAAATCTGTTATGCAAAAACTATTGTCATAATGGCAATTGTAATGGCTATAAGTAAACAAGAACCCTAATTTCATGGTGAGGAAATGCGTAGTTGCCAAGTTGTAGATGATTGCGGTTTTTGTTTAATTTTATTTAGCTGAAATCGGTTATGCAAAAAATGTTGCACGCGCGCGCGAATTTCGGAACGTCGGCCGGGCGCGCTCGCTTCGCTCGCTCACCTCTGTACTTATTAGGAGGTGGGTGAGAGGAGCGTAGCGTGTTCTTATGGAGAAACCGTTGCCATGGAAACGCTTGTCATGCTAACGACTAAACAAATCCATTAGTGAGAAAATGCTTAGTTGCCAAGTCATAGATGGTTTCATTTTCACTTTAGTTTAGATTAGGATATATGTTAAGAGTTAAAATAAATATAAGAGGCAACTGCGCATTTCCTTACCA